CTCTCTCTCTCTCTCTCTGGCATTGTCGCCCTCAGGATGGTATTGTCAATCCCACGGTCAGAAAGGACATGAAGGGCTCTCAGAAGCTTTACTGCTGTCCCATTGAGGGTTGTCCCAGGGGGCCCAACAGACCCTTCTCCCAGTTCTCCCTGGTTAAACAAGTAAGCGTTTCCTCCAGCGACCTGTAATCCTATCCACGCTATCAGTGGAGTAAAATTATGTGACCTCAATTCTGTGGAATAGTATTACTGTACTAGTATTAATTATTACTCAGCACCAGATATGTTTGATTAAATTCCATTAAATTCTGTATTACTGGTAGAGTTTCTATACCAGTGTCAGGTATCAGGTCTGACACTGTGCTCATGTACTCGTAATTGTAATCCTAAAACTACTCCAATACAATCCAAGTAATCCAATACGGCAGCATGCTTTTATGTAACCTCAAGTAGGTGAAGAAGAAGCAATGTCAACAGTATGGAGATATTTTAAGTAACATTAACATTAAATCCATTTTTTACAGTCAGAAAGTGAAGTAGTGAGGGAAATAACATGTTTTTAAAGTCATTGTTAGAACTTTAATGTATTAAGTACTCATATCGGGACTCTGTATCAGCAAGTATCCAAATGTAAGTACTTGAACTTGTACTTGGTTTAAAAAACTGTGGAAGTGGTGCAAGCGTACTTACTTATTTTTACCTCCTCCCACAATGCTTTGGTTTTAAGTTTTACAGACCACCCAACATTTTCTATGACTCAAAGCCTCAAAGAGGTTAATAAATTCCACTTGACTTAAAATGAAACCGAAGAATTGCCGAGAAATATACACAGGAATGAGTGTTGTTCCTCTCCCACTATGTACATTAGTATTTATCCTCTGACATTTGTAGCATTAAGGACTGCAAAACATTGCACGAAACACAGTCATTTTCCAATTTTGTCTAAATGATACGTTGGAATGCAATTGTGCTTCACAATCACTGGACAAAAAAACATTCCTGTCAGTTTGCTTTTGGGTCTTTACTGTGAAGCTCTACATTATTTAAGTTGGTAATGACCATATGTTATAAAAACCTAAGTTTAAGGCAGTTGTGTGATATATTCTGTGGTCTGTTTCATTGTAGCACTTCATGAAGATGCACGCAGAGAAGAAACACAAGTGCTTCAAGTGCAACAATGGCTACAGCACAGAGTGGGACCTGAAGAGGCACATAGAAGACTGCGGGAAGACCTACCACTGTACATGTGGCTGCCCCTATGCTAGTAGGGCTGCACTGCTGTCACATATCTACAGGACAGGTCACGAGATTCCTACAGAACACAGGCACGTACATGCAGAGCCCAGAGTGATTTTTATTGAAGCCTTCCTTTTAGATTGGCCTAAAAAAAGTATTTTGACTGTCTCTCTGTATCCATTTTGTTTCTTTACAGAATTCCTCCAGTGAAAAAGCGGAAGATGGAGAAATTGATAAGTGGATCTGAAAAGATGAAGATCACTGAGTCAATCTGTCAGATCATGCCCACATGTAAAGAGCTGACAGAGACTGCTCTCCCCTCTGATACAACTGTTCATATCCCAGACTCAGTGAATCAGAACTCTGTCCCCCGTAAGAGCCTCCAGAAGTTGCTCCTGCCAAAACCCAAGATGGCTTTGGTCAGTGTTCCTGTCATGCAGCTGGCCCACCTCCCTGTTCTTCTTCCATCTACAGAAAGCGGGGCTCTGAGGTCTGTAGTCCTGGCAGTAGACAGCCAAGGCTCTGTCAGTACCCTTCACCTCCTGCCACAAGCCACGGGAGCTGTGGTACCCCAACTTGATGCCAAGAGTTTGGGTTTTAAGGATAGCATGCCTACATCCCGCTCTAGCCTGGGGCCCATTAGCACAGGGGTGCAGGTCAGTCTGGACCCTGCAGGCACAGAGGACTCCGCTTGCTGCCTGGCAGGACAGCGGGGAAGAAGCACCTCCACCACCATTCAGACGGATAAATCGTACTTGTCAAAAATGCCCACAGGAGTGGGGGTTGGAGAGGGAATAGGCTTGTGCTCTGTGGGTGAGTCGTCAGTGTCATCCTGCTCCCAAACAGATATCAGCGTGAGTGCCCAAGTCCTCCTGCCAGTCAGTGTTGAAACCCAGACATTCTCATACCGGGCCAAAGCCACATCCACTATTGGAGCTCAGACAGACAGCCAGTGCACGAGCCAAATTCCTTGCTCCTCCTCATCTGTGCCCCCATACAAAACCAGGCAGACACAGACATACTTTGCCATACCACAATCGGAGGAGAAGGCTCAGGACCAGGCAATCATGTGCTCTGACCTGTTTGGTGGCGAATCCCTCAGTGTCTCCACCCAGACAGCTCTGGACATAGATGACACTCTGGCTGCCGCAGGAGGCAGCATATATGAGGACTCAAAGTCAGCAGGTGCCATGTGTTTTGGGGTTCAGACAGATGAGCTTAACTCAAACAACATGGCAGACAACCAGACCCAAACAATGACCTTGTTAAATGACCTGGAAAATATTCTGTCTGACAGCATGTCGGGCCACCAGGTGCTCACAGAGGCCTCTGCAGGCTGTGGGTCAGGACTGGGCTCTGTTCAGGAGCAACACAATGGCATTGACTTTGACTTTGAAGAGTTTCTGAATGCTGTGCACATCCAGACGCAGACAGAGGAGAGTGAGCTGGGAGGACTGGGTGGTGAAACGCCGCTGGAGTCTCTGGACATCCAGACCCAGACAGACTTCCTCCTGATGGATGAACTGGACCAAAGTGAGGGACCAAGTCGAACCCAAGCCAGCGACCTGGAGCTATTTGATACTCAGACTCAGACTGACCTCAATTTCCTGCTGAGCGCTGGAAGCCACATGCCCCTGAGCAGCATCCTGCGACATTCAAGCTTTTCTATGAGCACCGAGTCCTCAGATACAGAAACACAGACTGATCTTCCTTCGTTTGCAACGGGGCTCTCTGCCCAGACCCCTGTCAGTCAGGGTGAACATTCAAGGCTTCTGAACAGCACAGAGACACAGACTGTGACCAGCCAGGCTGAAGGCCTGGGACACCTCTTCCTGACGAGCAACGAAACACAAACTGTCATGGATGACTTCTTGTCAGCAGACCTGGCGTGGAATATGGAGTCCCATTTCAGCTCTGTGGAAACCCAGACATGTGAGGAGCTTTGCGCTCTCTTTCAGCACCCTGAGAAACCCAACAGCTGAAACCCTCTTAAAAGCTCGTGAAGCTGCCTAAGCTTTGGCAGTACAGGTTTGTCATGTCTGCCTCTTCCTATGAGAGGAATCAGTCTACGCTGTCCTCCAGCGGACCACAGTCTTAGCAGTAAGAAGTCTCCGCAAACGTCTTTGAACATTCCACTGGAGACATCGTGTCCAGAGCCTTTCCAGGTGTATGTCCTGACAGCTCCGCTGCACTTTATTAGCTCAATGGGCATGATTTATCAGCTCCTGTGACAGTTTACATATTTATTTGCACATAAAGTAACATATTGTAAGTGTCTTGTCTGAAATGCCAGTTTACTTCTTTATTTCAGTGTATAACCACTGTGACTGGTTTTCACTGTTTACTAGCAGTTTAAAAATGACTCAACATTTCATCAACGTTAGATCTGCACTTAAAAGGGATGACATCTTCAGCTGTGTGTGGCTGTCAAGAAAAGGCTTATAAAGTTGTTACCCTGAATGACAGCTTTCAGATATGCATACGCTGCATTAAAACAATTTCATCTCAGCTGTACAGCAAACAACATAGTGTGTGTTAAGGATTGGTATGTTTGGAAATGTGCATGAAGCCTTCACTTGGTCAGCGGCACAGAAGCATAAAATATCTATTCTCAGCTTGTGCATCCGATGGCTGCCTCATTGATGTTGCCTTGTCAGCGGCAGCAGGACTATAAACTCTGAGTTACATCCTGCGAGCTTTGCAGCCAGTAGAAAACTTCTCCAGTGAGAACTGTCAGCTTTATGTTTTCCAAAATAAAACCACATAAAGCCTTCAACAATGAACAAGGCATTTCTCAACACTGTTAAGATGCATCTCTAAAACAGACCGTTACTCCTACAGATGTGGCACAAGTAAAAATGAAATGTTTAAGTCTCGTCAGTTGTTGCACACTTTTCATTGAAATGTGATAGTGAAGTATGATGTCGTGTAAACACTTTTTTTGTGTCTAGGCCTCTATAGCTAAGCAGTCAGTTCAAGTCAGTAAGCAGACTAGGCTGTCATTCTCTTTGACTTATTCATTAGCTGGGTGTAAGTGTATACAGTAGCAGTACTCAGTGCTGAAGTGATCCAGTAATGTTACTGTACATAAACACATAGTGGATTAGAGCATGGATTAGCATAGAGTTATTGTATGTATTCACAACCGGATTTTGACTGAAAGGAGTCCTGTTTAATATCTTCCGTTAACAGCATCCGATTTTCCACCTTTAACAATCAGACACAGTATTTTAATTTATTTTTTATTTTTTATTTTCTCTAAGTGTCTAATCATAAACGTAATGTTTTGATTATGTTTTTCATTATAGTGTTGCACTGCTTTACTTCATTCAGCACAGGCACCACATGCAGGCTATGTTCTACTAAGGAACCTAGAGCTATAGGCCTTGATTATTTGTTAATTTAGGTGCCTTAACCCAAGTATTAGCTTTAGTTCTGTGACAATTTGCTGCTTAACTTTATTAACAGAATTATACTAGAAAACACTGAAAAATGATCAGAATCCTTTCGGTCTTTGCTTTGCATGTTTACTCCATCTTGTATTTGTATTTTCATCAATGGTTGCATGAACTATTGGAATGTCCCTAATTCTTCTCCATAGTTTCTATGGAAAGCTCCATGTTCTGTCACATGAAAATAATGCTATGCAGCATTTTATTGAAGAGAATTTGTTTGACGCCATCTCACTATTTTTAATGGACAGATTGGTTAATGCAGTTACAGTTTATAGATGTTTGTAGAAACTGAACAATGTACAGAACGTGACACTGTGCCCAAGTAAAACATGCTCTATTTTTTTGCGCCACATCCAAACAGTTTAAGGATAATTTCCCTGAGTTACTAAGGATTTTGACACCCAATCAATTTCACCATTTCTTGTGTTGAGATAGTACTTCTAGTTTGTGGTTCTTGAATTCAAATACAGCATAGCTGCTCCCTGCTAGGAGATGCCTTGCTTTAAACAGAGCTATGTGTAGAAGCCTTGTCAGTCTCAAGTGTCAGTTACAGTGCTTTATTTTATCTCTGCTGGGATTGCATGCAGATATTTTCCCAGCACAAAAATATTTGTTTTAGCACAATATGAGTTTCAGTTGCCTATATGTGTAGAGTTAATGGTTGCCTTGATTAATTGTTGAAGCTACACTATGTTCTTAATAAACTGCTGGGGAAGTGTATACTTTGTTCCTTGTCATTTTTCATACAACAAAGAAAAAAACACTGATCACACTCAACCAATATTAAAAAAAAAGACGATTTAATGTGAGTGCATGAATCAGTGTCCACAGCCCAAATCAGTTCAACATAGTGTTATTAAAAGACATTTCAGTGTGGAATGCATTTTGTTCCTCTGTGCTAAACTTACAAACTGAGAGTGAAATAAAAAGAGCAATCTGATAGATTTGGGTATGCTGACCAATTTTAAAACTGTATGATACTGTGTCTTTCATCTTGTCACTTTGATGCGGTCACATCTTAATGAATACAGACATACTGATTTCTTGCTTGTGCTGGATATAGCAGCTCAGATTGGTTTGAAGTATCCATTTTATTTTGAGTTTTGTCTTAATAGATTAACACTGCAGCTCTTTTGACTATAGAATAATCTCACTAAGTGGATTATTTTTTATTTTACAGGGCAGCTAAACCATAAAGAGGTTGTATAATAAAGTAGCGTAACAAGATCATCCCAGTTGTTCCCAGCTGCAGTAATTGGCTGGCCTTTGGAGACCAACAGGATGTTTAGGGATCTGAGCATAACGCTGCACTGATAACCATTGTACATTACATAACCCAGATCCCATCCCTACAAGTTGTATAAATGTAATGTAAATGACAGAGAACATGCAGTCGTTTTGGCAACTGTGTATATCACATCAGTGTAGTCACAGGTAACAGTACAACACTTAAATTCTGACAAAGCTGTAGCTTGTGGGTGAAGTTTTAGTCCAAAGTGTGAGGCAGGCACACTCCCATGCCTCTTATGTGGTAATTGCAGCGTTGCTAGGTAACTAGAACAGCTGAAAAAGCACTTGTGGGAACTGGTCAGAATGAAATAAAGGCCCAAATGACATATAGAGCTTAACGTTTCCATGCTCTGTTCTCCTGACTGTTATAATGGTTAGTACGGTGTGAAATGTAAGGCCAGGCTCAACTGAACAACCTCTGCAATGAATTAGTTTTATAAAGATGTCTCATACCTTGAATGTATTCTTCCAACTTACTATTTTAATGGAAATATTGTATTATACAAGATAAAAGCAGGTTGTTTTTCCCTGGTTGAGAGTTTGAAATTACTGCATACATCCTCATCAGTCATGTTAAACATTTATTTCACAGCCTTCATACATCCTGACAGTGCACACAGTCTTGCTGGGGTGCATACGGGCTTGTGCACCTGCTGCATTGCCGGAGTGGAGGGCCTGTGTGAGGCTCTTGCCCATTGAGAAGCTAGGACGGTGCACTGTGTCAGGTTTGGAAGACAGAGGCACCTGATACCTCTTGGGGACAGAAACATTTACAGCAGAGAACAAGTGGGGGTTATGCTGACATGTCCGATACCTGGAGGCCAGGCCTGCAGTGGAAGTAGGAAGCTCGAGGTTAACAAAAGGGTCGACTCTTGTTCCTTTCACCCCACTCTTCTTATCAAACATGAAACTGTTGTCTTCTATGGTTTCTCCTTCTGGAGCCTTCTTGCTACTGCAGAGCTGGCCAGCGACTCTCTGAGGATTCAGGTGTGGTGATTTAATTAGTGGTAAGAATGTGAAGTTTTTAATGGGAACCACTGCATTATTGGGCCTATGGCTGTGTTTCTGAGGCTTAGTGGGCCTGTTCTGCCAAGAAGTCTCTCTGAGCGTCCCTTCCTCCTCTATCTTTTCTTCCAGTGAGAGTTTTGAAGTGGTTTTCTGCATTGCATTGAGGACAGGCCATTCCGAGGCAGCTTTGTGCAGAGCTGCCACAGTAGTGTTACTCCAGGTTCCTTCCTGCTGGTTTGACGGCGTGGATTTCCTAAAGCTGTTATTTGCTCCCACATGAGACTCGCAGTGGTGCTCTGCAACGCTGGCTGAGTTGTCTGCATTAGGGATTGTTGGGTCAGGGGACAGAGTGATCGCGCTGTCAGCCTCTTTATGCTTTGGTTTCTTGTATCTCTTCTGAGTCAAAAGTATGCAGCTCAGTGGAGCGACTCTGGCCCAACCCCGGACCTGTTTTACAATTAAATATAATGTTAAATATGAAAACAATTAGCAAAACACATTAAAAGAATGAGTGTACCAAGTCAAAAACTAAACTAAATACTAAAAAGTAATGTAGTAGAAATAATATTGGTATCAATATCAATAATAATAAACAATAATATGTACATACAGTAGATTTAGGGTTATATAAATTCAGGGTTATATAAACAGGTGGGAATATAAGTAAACATAAATTAAAGCATAGATGGTTAAAATATAGATTAAGTCTAAATTTTGCTGCTTGACTCCAATCAAATGATAAAGGACACTTAGAAATAACATACAACACTACTGTAAAGGTATATTAACCAAATCAGATAAAGGTTTAAAGGCAGTAAAAAAAAAAAAAGGGTGTGCAGTAAGAAGATATTCATTCACTTACAACTTCTTCGCAGCCAGAGTAACAGTGATACTCATGTGGCTCCAGCTCTTTCAAGAAGTCCTCCTCACTAATATCTAGAAGGGCATCAACATGTCTCCTCTCTGCTGTCTTGTAAGGCTGCTCCCTAACGTCGTCCTCCTGGGTGCGAAGCTCCGTGTCTGGTCCATTCACAGCTGGGAGACCCACTTCTTTTAAAGTCGCCATTATGCATTTAGCTCATGTACTTCATAGTGATATCTAAAAAAAAAACAAAAAAAACAAAAATGATTTCAAAAAATACCAAATAAGAGCTGCCTAGCTATCATTGCCGAGTTCTTTGAGTCACACAAACATGTTAACTAACCAACCCGGACTCAACTCACCAAAGGGAAGCCCTCTGAATCCCTGCAGCACTGTAAACGGGCTTTCTATCACTGCCCCCCTATCAGGAAGCACCATTCACAGAAACTGCTGCCGCCTGCCGTGCTCAGTTTCTCTGTTGTGGTCCACAGGAGTTCTCCCAAACAGAACAAGCAGAAGCCGTGAATGCCTTTAGAGACGAGCTGCAACGCCGTCGTCATAGCAACCCGTAAAGGCTGCGCCGGGAAGCTGTGACGTAGAGGAAAGGGGAGTGGCTGCGGGCGCTACAGCTAATACAACTGGGGCTGCTCCATAGTCATTATTACATCTCTGTTATGCAATTAGTCTTTAATTACACGGCAACACCCACCCACCCCCTCCCTAGATAACCCCCCCATGGTAATCCGGTGATTCTCATGTTCATAGCTGTAGAATATGATCAGAAAGGGTCGGTATAATTAAGGCTGTCTTGTCACAGAAAATGCCCCAAATTCAATTAAAATGTTTAAAATAAATGGGTTTTCTGTACACCATGGGGCTCATTATAACAGTGTCACAATGTGGGGGGGGAAATAAGAGGAAGTTAAGTGGTTTATCACTCGTGAGGGAGGAAACCATTTTGGTTAGTTGCGACGTTCAGTTCTGCACGTACACGTCAAACACTGTGCTCCACGCAGGTTCATTAATCAGCTGTGACAGGACACTGCATGTTTCACCGCATGAAAAGGGTCACGAGCGATGGTCGCTGCGCAGAGGAAGGGGCTCCCTTTTCTTCATTCTTTCTGCAATGAGCAGACAGTGGGGTATATTCTCCACGCACCGACATTTGACGTGACCAATCTGCAGGAGCAAACTCACACTTCGCTGGCGCACGTCCACCACTTGGTTTATTGGTTCAGAGCTGCAACAGTGTCGGCTTCTGACGCAGCCGGAGCACCTATCCGCGAGGAGGGACACTGACACCTGACGGCTCCATCACCCGACACGCCGGTCCCTGCCATCACGACCACTTTCGGCTCTGCAGTGCGGGATCTGTTGCGTTTTATGGAAGCGGAGTCTTCGCATCCTGTCGTGGTCATGCTGCCCCCAAAGAACTGCTTGCCAAGGAACTACAGCTGCATAGCCGGACTGTTCGGAAGCCTGGCAGCGGCGAACCCGCGGCTTGACGATGGGGAAGATTTTGACAGGATGAACGGCACTTGTGAGCCCATCGAGAGCCCCGTGGTGGACGAGAGACCGCGGGGCAGAGAGATCTTCCTGAAGCCTCCACAGAGTCCAAATCTGCGTCGGAGGTGCAAGTCGCTGCCCACACCCACAGAGAGAGCAAAGTTAGAAATCTCCCGCAGCAGAAGTCCAAGCAGTCAGAAAAAGGTCCGGTTCGCCGACTCCCTGGGCCTGGAGCTCATTTCAGTGAAGCACTTCGATGACACTGATGAGCCAGAGGTGCCGGAGCGCATCCTGGCAAAACTGCCCAAAGGACCCCTCCACCATAATCATTTAGAAACCAAATTCCCCCGGGCTCCTACACAGTCTGTGTTCATGGAGTTGCAGTTCACCAACCCAGGCACACTACCCGGCTTTGAGCAGAAAGTGCGGGAGGTGAAAGTCATGCTGGAGAGCGTCGAGGCGGACGAATTCAGCCTCTCCGGGTTTGTGCGCGTTTTGAATCTGGCTTTCGAAAAGAGCGTCTCTTTGCGGTATTCTCTTAACAACTGGATAACATTTATGGACAGTTTGGCGTCCTACGTTCCCAGCTCAAGCGACGGCGTCACTGATCAGTTCCGCTTCAAGATCGTCATGCCCACCTACCTCGACAACGGAGGAACATTTCAGTTTGCAATTAAATACTGTGTCGGCGGGCACGAGTTCTGGGACAATAATAATGGGAACAACTACAAAGTGCGGCGTCACCGGTTCAAGATGTCCCCGCCGCGGGAATGGGAGAATGGATGGATTCACTTTATCTGAGCTTTGTCGTCTGCAGTGGCACACTGCGTGCGTAATTTGCGCGTAACCGATCCCCGGGTACCTTAATTATGACTGTAGCCTGTAATGATGTTTTTTTCTGCCATTGTCAGCTACACACGTGCTGTGACACTGAAACAATTCCCCACAATAATTCAAATATTTGGTAACAGACGGAGTGTTGGAGACTGCTGTATGAGCATTTGATAGGTGCCCGATGTGGGATGCTGTTAGATAAATTGCCTTGATGTCAGGGCTCTGTACAGCTTGGTGCCCTTTGGGAGGGCATGTTCACGTTATGTAATGTAGAAACACGTGCCACGGAAAACGTGCCGGGCAATGCCGACTTCAGGCATCACCGTTCCCTTCGGGAGATGCTGATATTTGATGGCATGAATAATCCTCAGTTTGTGCAAAAACGCTGGCTTAATAGGAAGCAGAAAGCATCACATTTTGGCTGGCATGGATGCCGAGCGAACCTATAGGCCTGGTAGCATACTCCTCTGGTGGTCCCCTTGGGGAAACACACACACACACACACACACACACACACAGCCTACGTCTTACTGAGACGACAGACAGAAATGTGGCTGGCCATTTCATTCAAAAAATTCAGTGCATTATTTCCTACTAATTTCCTCATGCCAGTGAAATTGCCTTATTTTAAGCCGTGGTGTGGGAAATTGTGCACTGAATGTTGTACAGTGGGCTATTTTCATTAGGCTTTAATAGACTAATGCACATAGTTATCCTCATTACACTTGCATTTTAAAATAAAGCCTGCAGACACTGAGAATTAGTGCTCATATACCTGTAGGCTTCCAATCCAGGGACACCATACTTAATCATAAACCTGCCTTTCAGCTATATATTTGCAACTATTCAACATCCATTGTGCTGCATTCATGTAAATATTCATAAAATCAAGAAGGCCTCACCATAGTCCAAAGACAATAAATTAAAAAACGTTTTCTCTAGTCCCTAAATTACAATGGCACCATGCATATTCCATCAAATAATAAAAGCTATATTTATAAAGAATGGACTTTGACACTCATACTGTGATAGGAAGGTTTTTTTGGTGAATCAACTCCTTGAACGTGGTCCCCCCCACCAGGGAAATAAATCAAATAGCTGTTTAAAAGGTTAAAATTTACCTCAGATTACCTTTGGACACTTCTTCAGGTTTATCATTATAAGACAGATTTTATTTTCACAGTAATTATTTTCTAACAAATACAGAAACATATTATAGTACATTTAAAGATTCAAAACACAATGCTTCTTCATTTCTAACGTTCTTGACTGCACTGTGTAACTCATGTTTTTTATAGAGCAGTGTTGTCTGTAGACACGGTAGCTATTACACGAACCACTGTGTTTAACTGGCTTCTATCCTCAGTCACCACTGTGCAAGAATAGTGCTGCTCCTTACACCACACATGACCAAAGTAGTTTGAACCACCTGATTGGCTGACATTGACATCCTTAGTTGGCGAACTGTTGTCTGATTACTTCATTTCTATACATGTATACAACCAGCCTTCCCTCTCCATACAACAGTTAATCTTACTTCCATGAGTTTTTTTATGAACTCATTGGCGAGTAGTCTTCCAAACCTGCTCCCATCGTTTGTGATCATGTACTCAGTCTTTACGGCAAACAAACTTGCATGTTGTAGACAAGTGAGTTTACTTGAATGGAAATATCCATCAGGCTTTTTTTAGTTGTGTCATATTGTCAAAGTTTGTGAGCATGTAGAAAGTTGTTCATCGAGCAGAGGAACAACAGACAGGGTGCTTTTAATTCCAGTGCTCTGACTGTAATCTGAACATCACTTTGTCCTTTGTTTACATCATCATGGCCTCAGAGAGAAGCTCTCCATTTAATGAGGCCATCAGGTTGGGATGTGGATAAAGACTATTCCTGTAACCACTTAGGTTTTGGAGCAGCTCCACTGTGAATCCATCAGAAATGCTTGTCTCTAAATCTGACATGGTTCGTGTTGGAACTTCAATGCTGTACCTGATGTTGTTAGAATAGTTTTGATGAAGTAAGAGATGACTAGCACTGACCTGATATTTGCTTTGACTACATGTAGCTTTATCATGTACAGAGCTTCATTTCTCTCACTGGTTTATTTACACTGTGGATATAAAAAAAAAGGTCTGGCCACTGCAGAGCTTACTGTGTGTTATGTTGTTAAATAAGTAGCATATTGTCTGCTTTGGTCTGTGTAAGCTTTGTTCAAGCCTTCATGCTGTGCAATACCAGAAAGTATTAGTTATTCAGGCTGAGACTACTGATGTGGATACAGAGAGATGCATCAATACCAATCAGTCACTGCCAACACAGATTGTGTTTTTTTAGATTTTAACGTTTGGCTGAGACAAAGTTGGTACAAGATTTTCTCTCCTAAGTCAACAATGTCCAGTTTGGGATTGCGTGACGCAAATGACCGTCTGAATATGAAGCTTTTTCCATGTTGGATTTCATGTGACTCTTTAGTTTAAGTTTCCAAAAAACTGTAAGATACCAGTGTTCAGTTTTAGTCTGGTATCTTCTACACTTCTTTTGTTATTGGTGCATCCCTACCATTAAGGAAATGAAGGGCTTCTGGTCAATTAGATTTTCACCTCAGTTTATACATAACTTTTTGCATCAAAACTCACTAATATATACTGTAGATGTGTATGCAAATGTGTTAATGTTTCATATTGAATGTCTTCCTATTACTGTTATATGTCATGTGTATTTAGAAGCATTTTAAAAGCAGAATTGAGAGATGCAAATGCTGAAGGTTTGTTATCTGATGATCCTGGGAAGTTGGAAGATAGAATATGAGCCCAAACCTACTGAAATCCTAAAGCACACTTACTATTAAATTTAATGGTCAAACATTTATTCAAGATCATTTAAAGGCTGCTTGTTAAATTGGTATTACCACTAAATGTTTTATACATCCGTGAGATGTTGCAGAATTTCCCCTGAAATATGAAATATGTATCAACATGTGAGCAGTGTATCTGAATGAAATGAATACATGTGCACAGCTACAGGTGTACACTGCCTTACTAAAATATGAGTTTACTTGACGTGAAGCAAAGCTGGAAAGATGCAAGTGCTTGTTTGTTAAGAAATAAGGTGATAGTAGAAGGATGACACAAGACAATGACAAAGGCATATGTGCCTTGGCAAGAGAGTGAAGGTGAGATGCACTTTGGTGTTTGATAACTTTTATCATGAGTGACTTATGATTGTAGCAGAATTAGTCAAAGCAGGCCTAATGCACTTTGAGTGAAAAGAAGGAAAGGGGCAGGATTGCAGGTCACAATATATGTATGAAAGCTTTTCCTGTGAATAGCTACTAACCAAGATG